AGTAAACATAGGTCTGACAGGATTCATCTGAACTTGTCATTATTTTAATCAATCTGATTAAAATTCAAATCTGTATTAACTCGCGTTCTGGTATATATAAGAGGATAACGAAGTCAGAGGTCTATATTTTAATTAGATAGTATTCAGTGTATATAAAGTGCGGATCCTGAAATACCATTTTCACTGCATATGCCATACATTTCTTATGGCTAATGATAAATAAACAGACGAAAAATTTATGATTTTGGAATAAAATGATAAATAGTATATCAAATGGATTGTTTTAAAAAAGTTGTGATACAGGTAAGAGATGCAGACGGGTTTATGTCGCACATACAGCGATCAAGGTGTGATATCGTTATACTAATAAGTAAATATTAAGAATATTTCACATACAGAGCGTGCATGAGGTTTAAAAGCAGTAGTAAAGTTTTATTTTCAGAAAAGTATACCTTCTAACATAATCATTAATGTTGTATAACTTTAAACATGTTTTGTTATTCAGTTTGTTGATATTGAGTTAAATTCCACTATGATGCGTTTGTTATGCGATTCATATTTACTGTCGAATAATGATACAATACTTTCATTTTCACTGTAGGGACGATTCATTTCTATTGTATATGCGGTGCATTATCACAGTAGGTATCTTCATCATTTTTGTTTCGCCTGGGTATACTGTTTCCGGCGTCGGCGGCGGCGTCAACAATGTATTAGTTTGTGATTAGGTCTAGTTCATGGTGAACCACTAGTGGTAGGTCAATGATATTTGGTATGCAGTTGTATAAGCATTGGCACATCTCATTACCATGGAGATTATTTGGCCCCGCCCCCTCAGTCAAGGTCTACTTTGAAACTTTTCATAGTTTACATGTATTAGTTTGTGATTAGGTCAATTTATGGGGAACCACTAGTGGTAGGTCAATGATATTTGGTATGCAATTGTATAAGCATTGGCATATCTCATTTCCATGGAGATTATTTGGCTCCGCCTCCTTAGTCATGGTCTATAGACTTTGAAAATTTTGCTAAGTTAACATGTATTAGTTTGTGATTAGGTCAGTTCAAGGGGAACCATTAGTTGTAGGCCAATGTTAATTGGTGTTCAGTTGTATAAGCATTAGCACATCTCATTTCCATGGAGAATATTTGGCCCCGCCCCTCAGTCATGGTCTATTGACTTTGAAACTTTTGCTTAGTTTACATGTATTAGTTTGTGATTAGATCAGCTTAATATGAACTGCCAATGTTAAGTCAATGATATTTGGTATGCAAATGTATTGGCATTTGCAAGTATCGTTTCCATGGAGATTATATAGCCCCACCCCAATCTAATTAAAATATAGAACTCGGATTTCGTTATGCAGTATAACGAAATCCGAGTTCTATATTTTAATTAGATTGGTAAACTTTGTAATAAACTTGATGATGAATACCATTTTTTTCAATATTGCAAACTGAACTCAACTTTAAGAGATTGCTTATTTTTAAAGATTAATAATATTAACCCTGATTATACAAATTATCAACCACTTTTAAAGCTAAAACTACTTTTAAATCCTGAATCTGAGCTTTTGACAGAAGTTGGTGACTTTATAAAGCAATCTTTAGAATTGCGAAAATGAGGTCCATGTCCATCAAAGGTTATATTACCATTTATAACTATGTTTTTTTTTAATGTTTATATGTGTAGTTCTTCATTTTCTGTATTATATATGTTTGTATTTGTGTTTGCTTGACCCATATGTGTGTATTTTGCAAATAAAATTATTATTATTGATTATGTAGCACGGCCTTTTCGCTAAGCTTGGCCGCAGGTAAGTGTATATTTGCTAAATCTGTCAGAAATTGGACTGCAATCAGGTGCTCCCGATGAGTGGACTCCACTTGGTTCCACCGTGATTAAACATACAAAAAATGCAGGTGCTTTAATTTTCAATATGAAATGTTAGAAATGTCAAATAGTTAAATCGTTACAAAAAATAAAGATGGGTATTTCGAAGGAGACAACATATTTTCTTCTCAAATTTTGTATCTCCACAGTATTTTTAGCAACGAAGGATAAAGTACTGTTACGAAAACGCGCAACGAACGGTACAGAATAAACAATTTCATAAACTGATGATTTTTTTAGAAAATCAAAATAATTACAATGAATTAGGTATGTGGGGTATATTCTGGAGGAATATACGCTCACAAACCTGCACATATATCAGTTGTTATTTAAAGTTATTTAATGTTTAAATTTTTGAAGCATTTTTAAGCGAGTTTTTGTGAACAAGGTTTGCAAACATACGTGCGTTTATCATTCAGTAAGTCCGTGTTCACACCAAACGTCGCGTACTGTAAACCTGTTTACAATTAGTTTTATATAATGGACACTGGTTTCACATTAAATTTGGTCTCATCTGTACATCGGTTTTAATTACCTGTATATGACAATTGTTCACACCAGTAAACAACATGTACACGTAATGTACATGTACATTACATAGAATTGAATTACAATTTCCTCTGTAAACATTTTCTTGGCGCAGACCAATTCAATTTTTTTTTAAGTTTTCAGTATTTTATTTTAGGAAAGAGGGAGGGGGCGGGTAGATAAATTGTTTAAATACATTTTTTTTTAAGAAAAAAACATATTTGTTGCCTGACGGAAGAAGAGCGGGGGTTTCAACATGGAGTTTTAAAAATGTTCCTGTATGTTATTGAACACAATTGGTTGTTTTTTTATTAATGTAATAAAAAAATGGCTTGTCCCACGAAGATGAATGGTCGTTGCCTTATTGATTTAGAGAACTTTGAAAGTTCTAATAATGTCACGATTACGCAAGCTCAAACAGTGTAACAACAGGGAGAAAAAGGGATTTTGAAAATGATTGATTGATTGATTGTTGGTTACTTAACGCCCTGTCTCCAGTGACAAATAATTCATGCGTTTTATGGATAACAAATTCACAATAAATACAATAGGTAGGTCCTGTAATAGAGGCCGTCCGAGATGAGCATCGGGGCAATTTGCAGTGCCATTGGAAAATGACAGTATATTGGATAGGGACAGAAATTTTGCCTTGCAACAGGCCACCTTCGGACCCTTAAAGAGTTGTTGCATAGGTTCTTAACGTGCAGACAGCGTGGCGCGCACTCTACACGAGGCATCGTACTTAATGTCCCCATTCAGACCAGACGTGACTGAGTACTTGTACATTCCGCACAGCGATAACGGACGGCCCACTTTGGCGAGGGTTTTACAGCCGATCGAAGGAAGACCAAAGTGGCCATGGGGTGATTTTGGAAATGAATAGTCCGGACTGGAACTAACTGTAAAAAATAATTTCTTAGACATAATGAAAATAAATATTTTGTCTTACAAAATGCAGAACTTGGCAAGAAATAGTTATGTTCAAAAAGTGAAAATAAGTTTCTCGCTAAATAAATACACCGTACTAAAATCCGGTGTAAAATGAATATTCTATCAGCAAACAATCCATACACGCACTGAAATCAAATGGTCCACAAGGCTTTTAATTTAATGTTTTTATATGTTTTTGATTTTTTATCATATAACTAGGTAAATAACTTAATTCAGAATATTATCATAATCATTTTTATTCAATATATGTAACTTCCTTAAATATTCATAATAAAATTCACGTTCACAATATCTAGTTTAGTGTACACTTAATCCACACAAGGTCTACATTGACTATCGACTGCATGTAGTGAAAACCTGTTTTAAACTACATGTAAACATTGATTTTTATCAATGGGAACGTAATGATGGTTAAACCATGTCACCCACAAAATAGAAATCGAAAAAATGCAGCAAGTACCGTTGCTAAAAAAACGAGACAAATACCGGGTCTGGACCTTCGTCGCTCTATACGATTAAAGTAAACATGTTTTCTAAAGCATTACTGATGAAATATCGAATATAAATCACTCTCTTTCATTGAAGCCATAAAAACTTTGACGAACATTTTACTTGTTCATGTACAATAAGAGTAATGTAAGAGATGTAATTTCAAACTATCGGCAAACAGAAAGTTGCTACACAGCAGATGTAAAATCTGCTCACACGCCATAATTCAACATTTTAAAGCTCCACACCAAATATCAAACTAATCTCTTCTTAAGACACACCCATTGAAGCCAAGAAAATAATCGCGAAAATTTTCCGTGTACCATGATCGAGCGTTTGTAAAATTTTAAACTTTCACCAAACAGAAAGTGGCAGCACGGAAGTTCTAAAAATTGCTTACTTACGTTACAATTAAATATTATCAAGCTACAGGCCAAATATAAATTCATTCTCTGTCATAGATGCCAAGAAAATGTTTATGAATTTTAAAGTATTCTTTCCAATGTATCTTTGGACGGACGGAGGGACATGGTCGAACGGTTTCTACTTGACTTGATTTTGCCGTTGGCGACTCGGGAAAAATAGACAAACAGACAAAGAACAGATCACAATCAATATAGAGGGAATTGAAAATTTAACAGCACGAGCTTAAAAAAGCGTGCGGAACCCTAAAAGGTTGATTGGGTGCTGTTTGCTTAACGTCCAGTAGCAAATATTTCATGCATTTTCAGTACGAGAACGTATCTACAACAAATACAGTATGTAGGTCCTGGGATTACTGTCAGGAAAATTCGAACTACCACTAGAAAATGGGGATATCTGGGGTTGGGACAGAAATTTTGTCTTGCAACAGACCATCTACGAATCCTTCAAAGAGTGGTTGCAAGGGCCTCACTTTTTCTTTATGGTGTCGGATTTAACGTCCCCATACTGACCGGATGTGGTTGCTTACTAAAACATCTCGCACAGCTAAACGGACTACCCGTTTTGGCAAAGAATTTACTGCCGGGGGAGGGAATAAGACTAAAATTACCATATTTCTATTCCCTAATCACCCATGGCGACCTCAAAGGTCAGCACTTACCACCCGTCGTGTAAAATGAATGAGTTTCTAATTCAAAAATATGTGTAGCAGACGTATAACAATATAGCTTTTTAATTAGTTTGACTAACAATGGATTGAAACTTTTAATATATAAACAAAGAGTCATGCAAGACATATTCTCGAAACAACGGATCCATCAAGATTGAAATAGTGGCGAGTATTCGAAGGGAAAACGATTGCTGGCCCTGCATGGACATATCCCACAAAGTTGTCCATATTGTCTACAGCAGTTTCTACATCTTAATGTATAGCGAAACCGCGATCTTTTTTCACGACTGAAAAAAATAAACAAATTGTACGTGTACTAATATAAATGCTAGATCAAAATAGTGGAAATTGTAAGAACATTATATGCTCGTTCTTTTTTTTTTTTTGTCATGTTTTTGTATTCATTTGTTATTATTTGTGTGTGTGTGTGTGTGTGTGTGTGTGTTTATTTTATTTATTTTGTTATTTCTTTATTCGTATGCCTTCAGTTATCAACAAAAAATGACAGATGTAAAACTAATTATGTAATGTTTGATTTACAACTGAGGCCCCTCATGGGGGTGTCCAAGTAATCAAATAATCACAAATTTTTTGCCAATATAATCACATAATCATTAATTTTTTTTTTCAAAAAAGATGATCAAATAATGAAAAATACAGTCCTAGTTTATCAAATAATCAAATGATCATAAAAAATTTAGTCTGGTAATCAAATAATCACTATAAAAACGGTCAAGTAATCACATTATCAAAAACCCCATGAGGAGGCTCACAACTTATCACTAAAAAATCAACATTTAAACGTTAAAGACTGACATGAACACACTTACACTATGTAGATAGATAAAATATATATAAATTGTAGTTATTTTACAGTTTTCCTCACATCATCATAACCTAATATATTCCAAGGGATCGCCCCGCCCCCTCTCCCATCACCCGTCTGAATCCGTTGATGACCTCATTACAAGCTAATCTATTCAGTTCAAATTGAGATATAACTTTTATAGCTAAAGAAACCTTCAATAGAGCCACATATGATGGCAAGCCGTTTTACTATTTATTCCAACTTCAAGATATCGCATATAACATATATAAGATATCTAATATAATCTAGTTTTATGAGATATCTTATGTTTATAATATATCTCATTATATATATATATTAAGATATCTTTTAAGGAAAATTGTAAGACTTACTTTCTAAACTATATATTAAGATATATTCTAAACTATAAAAGATATTTTCTAAACTATATAAGATATCTTATAAACTATATGTGATTTCTTATAAAGTTTATTATATATCTTGAAGTAAAACCAAATAGTAAAACACCTTGTTTTATAGCTTCTCCCAGTACTTGATAAAATTACATAATATTATGTTATGTTATACATATATCTAGTACAAAACAATTGACGAAAAATCACTATACATGTTTGTACATGTACACTGTTAAGGTTTTAATTATATAAACATGTGCATAGATGTACACAGTAAAATTTTGAATATGTACATGTGTATACATGTACACGGTAAAGTTTTTGAATTATATATTCATGTGTATACATGTACAGGGTAAAGTTTTTAATTATATAAACATGTGTATACGTGCACACGATAAAGTTTGTATTATATATACATTTGTACACATGTACACAGTAATTTTTTTTAATTATATCAACATGTTTATACATGGACACGGTAAAGGTTTTTAATTATATAACGTCACAGTACCCAAATTGCACCTATTCAACAAAAATTAAAAAAAAAAAGTTTTAAATTATATCTACATGTGTTAACATGAACATGGTAAAGTTTTTAATTATATAAACATGTGTATCTGTGCATACGGTAATGTTTGTGTTATGCATACATTTGTATACATGTACACAGTAATTTTTCTTAATTGTATATACATGTGTTTATATGCACACGGTAAAGTTTTAAATTATATCTATATTTGTATACATGTACACAGTAATTTTTTAAATTATATATAGAATGATGTGTATACATGCACACGATACAGTTTTTATTATATATACATTTGTATACATGTACACAGTATTTTTTTTTCAAATTATATATACATTTGTATACATGCACACGGTAAAGTTTTCTATTATATATACATTTGTATACATGAACACAGTAGTTTTTTTTAATCATACATACATGTGTATACATGCACACGGTAAAGTTTTAAATTATATTTATATTTGTATACATGTACACAGTAATTTTTTAAATTATATATAGATGTATATACATGCACACGAGACAGTTTTAAATTATATTTATATTTGTATACATGTACACAGTTATTGTTTTTAATTATATATACATGTGTATACATGTACACAGTATTTTTTTTCAAATTATATATACATTTGTATACATGCACACGGTAAAATTTTCTATTATATATACATTTGTATACATGAACACAGTAGTTTTTTTTAATCATATATACATGTGTATACATGCACACGGTAATTTTTTTTTTATTATATATACATTTGTATACATGTACACAGTATTTTTTTTAATAATATATACATGTGTATACATGCACACGGTAAAGTTTTTTTTATTATATATACATTTGTAAACATGTACACAGTATTTTTTTTAATAATATATACATGTGTATTCTGTACATGCACATGACAGCTTTTTTAATTATATATACATTTGTATACATGTACACAGTTGTTTTTTTAAATATATATACATGTGTGTACATGCAGTCGGTTATTATATTATTTCTGTCAGCTTTATAATTGATGAGAAAAGTGAAACATACCTCAAAACTTCGTCGCTTCTTGTATCTGCATTGTCTGTCATGGCTACAAATAAAGAATGTATTATTTATATTCATCACTCATTTAATTAACGTTTGATTTTTTGGGAAAGGGGGGGGGGGGGTATGTTGTTATAGGTCGGATAATCTTTTTTTTCCCCAACTTTGTACATAATTCTTTAAAATTACTGCATTTCGTTTGACAGAATTATCAATTTCGTCCTTTTGGGCAAGAGTATTATTTGAGTACTTCTGATCACTTCTAATGCAATGATATTCCTTTCCATAATAATCCTACCTAGCTATACCTTTGTCAAACCCAGACATTTACTTCTTATCGTACGTAACTATTCACATAAAACATTTTGTTTTCTTGCTCCTTTAAAAACTGCCTATCTACCTTCTCTGTGTTGTTCAATGAAATTTATATTCATCGATGGCTAAATTTATTTTGATGTAATGACTCCTACTTCTCCAAAAAGTGAAAAGATTAATCGACCATTTTATGCATGAACTATTTGCCACTAGACATTAAGCCAGCAATAATTAATAAATCATTAACAAGGGTAAATGGAAGACAATTATAAATAGCACTTATAGATTTTTACTGCTAATATATTTGAATACGACAGTGATCACATCATTTTCTCGAGTTTTTTTATACCTGATATTTTATGACATTATACTATCTCATAGGTTACATATTTACATAAGGGCTTAATTCCCTTTTGTTGATCATCTTTTTAACGTTTGTATTATGTTTGGGATTTTCAAATATTTTGGCCTCGAACATCACTGAAAAGACTTTTTAATTGTCGAAATGCGCATCTAGTGCAGTAAAATTGGTACCGTTTATATTTATGACATGCCCTTATATTAAAAACATTTCATGAAGTTAAAAAGAAATGAAAAGAAAACTACAATAACTGATTAATTAAACAAAAACCAAAAATTACTAAATAATTGATCATGAAAAGTAGCTACTCTAATATCTATAAAAACGTAGAAAAATCAAAAAAAGTCCACCAAAATATGATTCTAACCAGCTACTTGAAAGCCCCAATATATTAACTGCTCGAAGTAAAAAACGGCGTTTGTGCGGTGTCGTGGTGGTCATGAGCCCGCCCCCTTATACTTCGGAAGCACGAGTTTCAAGTATAAAAAAAGAAAATAATGCTGCTGCAGACAACACATAAATCCTGAAATGTCAGAAGCTAAAGAACTTATATTCAATGAAGTACTACTTGTATATAATATAACAAATATATCATTAGCAGACAATACTTGCTATCATCTTTAAAATATAAAGCTTATTGCTATTACAAATGAATTACCTTGACAGACCGTAACATCACATAAACATATACCATAACGAATGACTTACCGTGACACATCGTAGCAAGACAGAAACAGACTACGGAGAATAGCATTAGTTTATGCATTGTTATCTATTAACACTCAGTTTGCTGTGCTCTCAAAACCAATGTTCTTTTATATGTACACCTAAAAGATTTAATTTTAGTTATCGCTGCACAAACATAATCTAAAAATATAAAAAAAAAATCATTTCGAAAATACATGCAGTGGCGGATCCAGGGGAAAAGGGGGGTGGAGGTGGTGGTGGTAGTGGTGGGGGAGGGGGGTATCCGGAGGTTGGAACCCAACTTTTTTTGACGATCAATGCTTTTGAATAGGAACATATGGTTCGACCCCCCACCCCCCTTTATCCTGGGATGGAACTCCCTTTTTATAATTGGCTGGATCCGCCCCTGACATGAAATCAGCCAGGCATATAAATAAACACATTTATACGTCCGGATTAACATCAACCATGCCTCTTGTAAATGACAACACAAATGTATTGATTGTCAAAAGCTTAAGATAGAAAAATATCACAAAATTATAGTAACATAAGATTACCATTTAATTTAGATAAACTTTCAATACGTTTTAGCACAAAAAATTATATGTAACATGACGCTATACAAAGCACAAAAACGATTTATTTTTTATGAAAGTATGATACTTAACCCCTAACGGGAGCTAGGGAATGTGCATGATTTTCATATATGATGACGACATAATCTTTCAATCTGTATAATTGAGGTTCTGGAGCTGGCATGTCATTAAATGCTAGTAGTCCGTTGTTAATTTATGTTGAATATTTTCATTTTGCTTACTAGTTTCTTCTGTTTCCTATTCTGACATCGGACTCGACTTCTTTTGAACTGAATTGTACTGTGTGTATTGCTGTGTGTTTTTTATTCCACATTGGCTAGAGATATAGGGGAGGGTTGAGATCTCATAAAACATGTTTAACCCTGTCGCATTTTTTCGCCAGACCCAAGTCAGGAACCCCTGGCCTTTGTTAGTCTTGTATGTTTTTTTTTCCCAATTTTGGTTCATTTATATGTTTCGGAGCTTAGTGTGACGTCCATTAGCTGCCACTAGTACATGTATACATTATTGTTTAGTGGCCAGCTGAAGTCTGCCTCTGGGTGCAGGATATTTTCACTATGTTGAAGACCCATTGGTGGCCTTGGGCTGCTCTTTGGTCTGGTTGTTGTCTCTTTGACACATTCCCCGTTTACATTCTCAATTCTAAACTTGGATAAATTCTGGTATTAAAGCGCTTCATAGCTTTCTTAATTTCGATTTCCCAATATTACAACAAATTAAAATGTTTTGTGGGTTTAATACTTGGTGCTTACGTAAATATATATATATACAGTCACGTGTATTCCGAATTTTATAATTATATCTTTATAAGTATTTTTTTCTAATGATTTTTTAAGTAGTTTCACCACCAATGTTTTGTTACTGACCTTTGCTTACAAAAAAGCTTTAACACGATTTCCTGCATTTACTAATATTAATTCTGTAAATCAGAACTAATAATTCCTGAACTTTACAAGAACTTTATTTATAACTGCATAACTGAATTCGACCAAGAAAGTAGATTCAATATGAAAAATATTATGATATATCAATGAAATAACAAGTAACATTCATTTATAAGCACCGTCAACATTTCCTTTTAAAACATAGTACTCACTTTTATTATAAAAACCTTACCTTTCTCTGAATTAATCACTGATCTATTCAACTCTAGTGTAGCAAATTAAACGCGCATTTCTATGAAGGAGTAAGTTTAATAGTCGGACAAGAACCAATTATATTACTACGGCAATTTTCGTTACAACGTCGGGAACAGTCGAATATTTACGATTTATAATCGTATATAATCAAATTGACACTTTCACTTGCTCGATGCCTCTACTGGTCGACTGTTAGTTAGTCTCCGAGGGTATCACCAGCCCAAAAGCCAGTACTTCGGTACTGACATGAAAATACGGATATTTTGTTATTAAAATCTGCTGTTAAATTTTATTTAGAAACTAGATTTAATTAAGGAATATATCTCCCTCATGCAAAGCTTAGATTCATTGCCCGGCTTTGGCTATACTTTTTGTCCTTTTTCATTACAACTGTTCATCTTATTAATAAGCTTTTGATTTTCAAATATTTTGCCTCGAGCATCACTGAAGAGACATTTATTGTCGAAATACGCTTCTGGTGCAGACAAATTGGTACCGTTCTTTATAGATTTTATGCATTCAAAACGCTTACTGGGTAACCCACGTAAGGATTGCCCCCCCCCCCCCCCCCAATGGAATGTGGATGATGTATTTTAATTACTTGAGAAGCTAAATGACCAACAAGGACCTGAAAAAAAATTACAAAACTATTTCAAAATCGAATATGCTTAAAGGCGTTTGAACTTTACTTTACTTTTAACTTCTTAATTCATCAACGGAAAGTTAAAGAAATCGGGTGCATGGCGTAACACTCCCACTATGTGGTTTTTGATACTATCGCCGACAACTGACGCTCCATCTGCAGCGGAGAAATTCATTGTTAGTATATATATATATATATATATATATATAAAAAAAACTGTGTATCAACTATTGACTTTTGACGAGATCAATACGTTATATGTGGACCTGTTCAGATCATATTGACCGAGGACGAAGTTGGAGTGTCAATATAATCTAACAGGTCCATATATAATGTACTGACTGAGTGAAAGTCCTTAATTGATATATTACATATGTAAATAGTGTATTATGGAAATGGACTTCAATGTTCTACATTTGTATCTGTGTATTTTACATTGTAATTTGAAAGATCTTTAATATTGACCGTATATATATATATATATAGAAACATAGCGTCCATATATATACTTAAAAATAGAAACACGGCTTCAGATACATATAATACCCTTTGACACACGTGATCGTAATAACCAATGAAAAAAGAAGAATGCTACACCATAATATATATAGATAGATATTGTGCTTCCGGAACGCTTTTTCTAAATTTACCTTCATCAGGAATGCTAAATGACAAAGAAAATCGAATATGTATCAAAACGACAAAAAAAAAAATTCAAAAGAATAATGAAAATTTTCTAAGACCAAATTGTACCTTAGGTAAAAATAATCTCTAAATTCATAAACGGAATACTGACAACATACGTACAACCTCTTATAACAACCTCTTATAGTATCTACTTGAGAGTGATACGTTGCAATTACAAAGAAAAAGTACTTCCGTCAAAACACGTATTTGAACGTGGAACTCTGAACCATCAGTTTGAGTGTTGGAAAACAAATTCAAGTATACACATTTGAAATCGTCTCCTTTTCAAAAAGATACTTCATGACCGTAATTCTAACAATGTTTTGACGCTGGGACACAGTTTCAATTGATTTGTACTTTTGATTGGGAATTTCCATTTAAAAACATTATATTTATAAATAAAAATGACAAAAGTGTAACATCATAAGCAGACCATGGGGCTTGTGGCAGAGGGGCAGTTGCGTAATTTTGAATCCCCCTTTTCAATTTAAAACAAAACAAAACAGTGAAAATAAGCGTGCTGTCATAAGTTGAGGTTTAATAGGAGAGTCTGGATGGGGTTTACAGAATAGAGAACAATGGGCAAAATGTGCAGAATAAATGCCAATAAAAATAAAGAATAGAGAAATATAGGGCCAAAAATAAGAAATAGAGAATAACATGAACAATAGGGTTCTAAAATATAAAGAATAGAGAATGATGTGCAAACAATATAAAGAATACAGAAAATGTCATAAAAAAAATTAAGAATAAAGAAACGAACGACTCCCCATCCAGACCCTCAAAAAGGATTCCTTATCATAAATCGATTCTTGTTTATAAAATTATCAACAAGAAAGCATCTAATTACATTAAGGACCTCCATTGTTCAATTATAAACATGACGTCAGTGAGCATGACTCGTTTCCGTTATCATTCCTCTGTTTTAGCAGTTGTCACTATTAATGAAATTCGACGTCTGTCGGCAGAACGAATCAATTTTGCTGCTCTCTCTTTATAATATATCAGTGAACGCGGTGGACAGTTAACTTGGTATTGATTGTAAATAGCACATACAAGTTATTTGTAGTATATTTATGTTCGTATAATACAGAAAAAAAAACGCAAAAGTAATTGAAATTAACAGAAAACAAAAATGACGGATTTTGGAAAAGAGGGGGAGGGCTAATAAAAATGTCCCAACATTCCTGTATTGGGGCAATCAAAGTCACAAATCGAAGATGTACAGCCATTACCATGGCTAAAAGAAACCTGATCAAGACCGGGTCTTTACCTGCATCTCTGCATGCAATTGAAGTAAACATGTTTATACTGAATCATAACTGGCAAAAAAATATAAACCATTCCCTTTCATTAAAGCCAAGGAAACTTTGCCGAACATTTTAAATGTACAATGAGAGTTGTAAATTTCAAACTATCGGCAAACAGGAAGTGGCTACATGCAGATGAAACAGTTGCTCACACGCCACAACTTAACACTATAAAAAGCTCTATACCAAATATCAATTATTTTCCCCCATAGACACATCAATTGATGCCAAGTTTAACGAAAATTTTCCTTGTACAATGAGTTGTAAAATTTCAATCTTTCATCAGATAGGAGGTGTCGGCAGCAATTAAAGAATATATAAAAATTGCTTACATACGTTACAGTTAAACCTTTATATCATGTACAGACCATATATAAATTCATTCTCTTTCAAAGAAGCTATGAATTATTTTGACGAATTTTAAAGTCTTCTTTCCAAGGTAAAGTAGCAAACATTTCATGTTTTGTTTTAGTACGAGAACGTATTTACAATAAATACAGTGGTAGATAATGTGACGGGATGACAGGAAGTCCCGTGGGGGAGATTCGAACTGCCACTGGAAACTGAGGGTATATGAGATCCGGACAGAAATTGCCTTACAACACCTACAAATCCCTAAAAGAGGTGTTGCAAGGGCCGCACACTCTCTCTCTCTCTCCACGATTCGTAGCATTAAACGTACTATACCGATTCTAACCGGATGTTATTGCAAACTTAAATATATCCATCCTGCACATTGCTTTGGCAAGGGCTTTTCTGTCGTTGTGAAGAAGACCAAAGCGTCGTGTAAAATAAGTGAGTTTCCAATTCAAAAATATTTGTAGCAGATGTATAACAATATAGCTTTAACATAAATTTGACTAACAAATGGTTGAAACGTTTAATATATAATCAAAGAGCTATGCAAGACATTTTCGTGAAATAACAGATCCTTGATACTTGAAATAATGCATTGATTCTATTTGTAGGGAACACGAACATAATTATGCCATGCCCTGCCTCTACAGAATGTTAAAATTTCTGGTCCTGCATCGTCCCCTTCTGCGATATTGTCTAGAATTACAGCAGTTGCTGTTACTAGTACATCTTCGACTACGTCTACAGGTATGTCTCGCTCTTTTTTCACGATTGAAAAAGGTACACAAATTGTCCTTAATTAATGCAGGATTATAATAGAGGAAAGGATTTTGTTGTGTTCATTTTTTTATAAGTCATGTTTTTGTATTAGTTTTATTTTTTTGTTGGTTTTTTTTTTGTAGTTATTTAACATTTTTTTTTTTTTACATTTTCACAATCTATTATAATATCCAACTCACTATTCGAATTGAAGATAGCTTCAATAGAGACAACATTCTGATTTATAGCATCGCCCAGTATATTCAATTCTTAATATTTTACTTATTAATAAAATAAAAAATTATATAGTATGTAATGTAATATCTAGTACAAAACAAATGACGGTAAATCAATATACATGTATACATGTACACAGTAACGTTTTGTAATTATATATACATGCGTGTGAAGTGGTTTTATTATAATAATTTTATTATTTCTGTCAGCTTTTTCTTTGAAGAGAAAAGTAAATTATACCTCAAAATTTCGTCGCTTCTTATATCTGCACTGTCTGTAGCATGTGTAGAGGCTACAAATAAAAAATATATTATTTATATAAACCATTCATTATTTTATCGTTCAATTTTCGGGGGTGTAGTGCGGTAATTTTATTTTTTAGGTGTACGCATTTATTCCCATTAGAAATTGTGTTATTTTTCCTTTCAAATCTGCCACTCCTCCTTTTCTATGTTTCCCAATGAAATTCAAACTTATCTATTACTAAAAAAAATGTGTTTAAGTAGCAATGACTGCTATTTTCCAAAAAGGTAAAAAGGAATAATTGACCTGTTTATGCATGAAATATTTGCCACTAGACGTTAATTAAATAATCTATAAATCAAATCAAGGGTTAATAAAAGACAATAATTATTATAATTAACACTTTTGTTTATTACTACTGAAATATTTGAATATGACAGTGTAATCATATATTTTTTTCGCGGTGTATTTGTATACCCTATATTATATAACATTCTATATATTAAGCCGAAAGTGCCTTATGAAGAAAGAATATGTGACAGATGTTTTTTCAGATGATGTTGAGGGTGAAATTCATTTTCTTTTACAATGTTCTTCTTTTTATCAGCAAAGAAATGTTTTTCTTCACTATATTACCAAAGAATGTCCATCTTTTTTAAACTTGTCCTGTTTTAACAAATTTATATGGTCAATGACTATGGAAGATACAAAAATTACTTTGAAAATAAGTGACTTTATTTCAGAAAACCTTCCAACTTAAATGCATGCTAATATTAAATATGTAATATTCCATGAAAGTATTATATAATATATTGTATGCT